AATAAAATGTCTTACATGCGTAAGATGAACTTTTCCGCACTGTGATCCACGACATGCATACCTTACATACTTTATTTTACCTTTAATTCTTCTGGTCCTTTTCTTTTTTTGAATTTTTGTTCTCTAATAAAAAGTTAAATAAATTATTCAATGCTTTTTACTTTTTGGTAGAAAAATTGATATGGTTTTATTTTATGAGAATGGAAATTTTTTGAAACAATTTTATCGATAAATGTATTGCATTTTTTAAGAAAATTAGTAAATGTAAAATGAAAACTGTTTGAAAACTTCGAAAAAATCTTTTAATATTAAATTAAAATCTATTGAAAAATTTCACTGAGATGGAAATGGAGAAAGTTGATTATTTTCGATTATGTCGGCTAAATGGTATCGCAAATCTGTTGTCATATCTCGGTTGGCTGGATTGCGCGAGTTTCCCAATCTCAATGAATATGTTCGGGGATCAAGTCCTAATACAATAGTAGTGGCGTATGCAGCGGCGAATACTCCACATGCACGAAGGTCGGGTTGACGTGTTTGCGGTTTTATGTAAACAATTCGTATGTTTTGTCCATATCGACCTCGCAGAATGGATCGACATCGTGGACTTATATTGCAGTAATACAGACTGTCGTAAATGTACACTGTTTGTTCAGCATACACGAAATGAACACAAATGTAATGGCCGACATTCGATATGCCAGCAGCTCCTTCAAAAATAATTTGGACATCGTCGACCACTGCAAAATCCTGATAATACATGGAAATTCTTTGAACATACAAGATGCTCAACATAGACCAATTTCCTGTACTATTGACCACATTTATAAATGCATCTATGTGTCTATCTTGAAGATACGAATGCCGGCGTCGAATGTAGTTGCAATTTTCTATGCGTTGTTCTTCAATTGTCATAGCTCGTTCTCTCGCTAATTGTTCCGGTGTTTTCGTTGAAACCGGAATGACAATCACATTGTCATCGTTGGATTTAGATGTATTTGGCACTTCTTGCACTTTTGAAGCTGGCGTTTGCGATGAATCAGGAATGACAATCACATTGTCATCGTTGGATTTAGATGTATTT